CGCGCGTCGGGCCGAGGGAGGAGGAGGAGGAGGAGCACGAGGAGGAGAACGAGGAGCACGAGGAGGAGGAGGAGGAGGAGCAGGAGAAGGAGGAGGAGGAGGAGGAGGAGGAGGAGGGGGAAGAGGAGGAGGAGGAGAAAGAGGAGGACGGCCTGGAGGACGGCCTGGCCCAGCGCTCCGATCGCCCCCCAAAAAGGTGGGAACGGCGGGATTTCCCTGGGACCCTGGCGTCGCAATTTTTGCTGCCACGGGCGCCTTCGCTCGACTTCAGGCCCCGGGGCCCGCGCAGATCGATCGGGCTCGCAAGACGACGCCGAAGGCCGAGGTCTGGGGCTCCGGACGTGCTGTTCGCGGTGTTGCAATTGCTTTGCCACGTCGGATCTCAGGGTTGGAGAGTGTCGGTCGGTCCTCTCCTCCTCCCGCTCCTCCTCCTCCTCTCCTCCCTCCTCTCGTCCTCCTCCTCTCTCCTCTCTCTCGGGGCCCTCAGGCCTCGCGAGGCGCCAAAGGAGGAGGAGAAGGTGGAGGAGGAGGAACAAAAAAGGAAAAGGAGGAGGCGGAGGAGGAGGAGGAGAGAGGAGGAGAGAGGAGGAGGAGGAGGAGGAGGAGGAGGAGGAAGAGGAGGAGGAGAAGAAGAAGAAGAAAAGAAGAAGAAGAAGAGAAGGAAGTAGGTGGGAAGAGGGGGAGGAGGAGGGGAGGAGGAAGGGAGGAGGAGGAAGGAGGAGGAGGAGGTGAGGATTGGAGGAGGAGAAGAAGGAGGAGGAGGGAGAGGAGACGGAGGGGGAGGAGGATGGAGAGGGAGGAGGAGGAGGAGGAGGAGGAGGAGGAGGAGAAGGAGGAGGAGGCGGAGGCCCCCCTCTCAACAACTCCGCCGTCCGACCCGATCTGAGGCCGGCCGGCGATCGGCGGGCGGCAGACGAGGCCCATCCCTGGGCCCGCACCCAGGCCCGGCTGGGTCCGCGACGGCCTTCCACTGGTCGTCTTCCTCCGGGCAAACGGGATCCCGAACATGGCGTCGTAAAAAAATCAGGGCGGGAGGTTTTTGGCAATTTTCGGCCTCTGGAGGCCCTCGCCGGGCCCCAGGACCGTCAAGAAACGACTCAAGACTAAAGACCGGTCCCAGGGAAAGGGTCGGGACTTCCAGTGACGCCGTCCTGAAAAAATCAAGACGTCGCATGTCTGGGATGTATACACCACCGATGGAGGCCCCCGAGGCCCACTCAGGCCCAGGCCTTGGTGTGCATCGGCCCCTGGCCAGTCCAGCAGGCCGTGTACACCAAGAGCTGGCCCGAGATTGGCCCAAGGAGACTTGGCAATGGAGCAGAAGGTTCCCTCTCCGTGTCCTCCACCTCCGCCATGAACGCCAGGGCAGTCCTCAGCGCCCTCTGGGGCAGGTCTGGCACTGCCTTGACCAAGGCTTTCGCCTTGGATTCTAAGACCGTGGAGACCCACTCCAGCGCAAGAGCTCGAGCGCCATCGCCGATGCTGCCCTTCGCATCAGCGAAGGTGAGCATCATGGACACCCACTCTGCGTACCGCGGTCTGAAGAACACTGCCGTCTCCTCCGCACTCGCGATCAGCGACGTCAGCGACTCCTCGAACGCCGAAGAATCTGCTGTCGCTAAGCTCTTCAGCGCCTCCTCCACCAGCGGGAGGACGGGCTGCATGGCCTCGATAGAGCCTGACCAGCCCCCCCCGATCCGCTGAGACGCGCGATCAGCCAGCACGCCCGACCACCGATGTCTTCGTTATCCAATAAATGTGTTGCTGCCTTGTCCCGCACGCGGTCGCAGGACTTCGCGACCCTTTCATGGGAACCTTATCTCACCTTCTCCCAGGCTGCCTTTCGACGGCCCTGGAGCCTGGAGGCGGGCCCCAGGCGCGCCAGCGACGGCGAAAAAGCGTCACATCACTGGCTCAGGACGCTGACGGTCTGGGGCAGCCCTGACGATCGGGCACGAAGCACTTTTGTCCGGGACGCCGCCCTGCAGAGGACCCCGAGCGGCGAGGGGCAACGAAAGGCCGCGAGGAGAGGGACGCGGCCGCGAACCCCAGGAGTCGACGCCTCGACCACGTCACAATGCCCCCAGGGGACCAGGAGGGCCCAGAACCTCCGCCCAGGAGCTGCCGAGGGCGAGGAGCGACCGGGGCCGATCGCAACCACTTCGGCCCGATCGCAGCCACTTGGGGCGGATTCCAACCGGTTGCGAGCAGGCCGAAGTGGTTGCAACTTCTGGGTTAGCTGACACATTGCTTTGATTAGCGGAGGCTCTCCAAGGGAGCTTCTGGAATGTGTGGGTTGCCTTACGCTCACCGATGGAATTGTCACAAAGCGGTTGCGATCGGGCCGATCGCAGACTGCGAGTACAAGTAGTAGTAGTAGTAGTAGTAGTAGTAGTAGTAGTAGTAGTAGTAGTAGTAGTAGTAGTAGTAATAGTAGTAGTAGTAGTAGTAGTAGTAGTAGTAGAAGTGGTAGTGGTAGTAGTAGTGGTAGTGGTAGTAG